AAGCCCAGGAAACGAAGTTGGATACTCAAAGCTTCAGAGAACCGAGTCAGAGAGTCACCGGAGCTAGAGAAGACAGATGTGGAGGTTAGTTTTGCAATGATGTTTCCCTTTTTATACAGTTCTATTTCACAAATTACGGCTGTAGTTGGTTTCCTATGTCGATTCTAATATGGATCCTAAAGAAAATTACAAAATTGGCAGTAAGATTTGGATTTCCTTGCAAATCGCCATAAACGCTAAAATCTTCCGTTTCAAACATTTTTGCGTTTCAAATCGCGATTCAGCACCAATCTTTACATAGAGTAGAGTCAACATACGTTTTTACTCAAAATAGGAACCTACAATCGCAAAATCGTTGGATTATACGTTTCAAAACGCAGGTTTGACAAAAACGTTTGTTACCCAGGGAGCCGATTTAAGAAATTAGGATTGTCCTGTGATTGGTAGAGATGCTTTTATATTCTAACTCTAACTAGTTATTGTTTTCCTTATTAACGTAATGAATATGGTTTTGAATTTGAATTATGCCACGATTAATTTGTCTGCAGGGGTAGCCAGCGGCCTTCTAGTAATACACTCCCGAAGGGTAAGAATTTGCAGTGATCATTTCAACACAACCAATATTGTTGTTTTTAACTTTGAATGTCTCAAGCAACTTAAAATCTGTTCATTTCTTCAGAAATTAATTACTAAATTTGTCTCAATTCTCAAGTAATATACGTAAACTACTGTGAATAGAGGAGTAAAGAATTTCATTTCACAACCTTATTTGTCTAATTCAATGAACTTTAATATACCCCTTTTCAATTTGAGGGATAGCTTCATTAGTTCCGTACCTTCAAACATTTTCTCTGCGTTTAGCGTTAGCCCTGTAATTTAGCTTTCTAACTGGTTGATGGATCCGTACATCAGATGATGAACCAAGACACCGGCAACAGAGAGATGGCTCAGGCGTAAGGAAGGTACTAGTGGTGTTTGGACAAGTAATCAATTACTAGTAAATGAGAAGCTAAAAATAATGATCTCTCTTTCTAATTACAGGCAAGGTTTTCTGTTTTGTAGATTACTCCTGAACAGATGTTGGTTGTCGTCAACTTCATCCTACAGCTCCTTTCAGGTATCATTGGCCTGCTTAACTCCAATTCTAGACCTTTGTATTCACTGATACTCGTGTCACTGTCATTTGCATCCTTTGTTCTTTGGATCATTGAGCTTGTGCACAGAGGGAAAAGGGAAACAGTTACCTGGAAGTGGAGGGTCAAGCTGATACCTTTGCTTTATTCTTCTTCAACCAACAAATCCTTCTTCCGGGGCGCGGATATTGTTGGGCTGCCATCTGCTCTTTTTACGTTCATCATTACAGTAGTTAATTTTGATCTACTGGTTCGACATGCCAATACCCAGATACAAATAACTCTGTGGCCAATCGTTGCTGCCACTTTTCTACTATGTTCAAAATTTTGGGCAGATAGAACCAACAAGGACGCAGCAGATCTTGTTCCATTACGTTCAATAATCATCGATAGCACTGGATCTGAATATCAAAAGAGTTCCACGATTCTTCTAGGTATGAACTTCTTTATTGAGGCCAGAGAGAGTTTCATTAATGTCTATATATGGTACCACAAACCTAAACTGATGTGGATTAATTTTTTCTTTTCTCTCAACCATTCTATCCACCGGTTAACGCAGATATTCTTTTTTTGAACAGCGGTTAAAGCATATATTTGCTGGGGATGCGTTTGGTGTTCACAGGTGAAAAATCAGAACAATATATTTTTTTTTCATAAAATAAATGAATCTGTTACCATAAGAGATTCTCCTTTTTTCATAGATTACCATTGAACGGGGGTTTGCTATTGTCAACTTCATCTTGGAGATCCCTTCAGCTCTACTTGACCAGCTTTCCTCTGAGCCTAAATCTCAATATGCGCTGATATTAATGTTGCTGTCATTATGTTCCTCAATTCTTTGCATTTTGGAGCTTTGGTACAAAGGGAAAACAGAAAGAGTTACCTGGAGCTGGAAGTGGATCATTGGTAAGGTGCCTTGGCCTTACCCCAACAAGCCTTTCTTCAGCTTCTGGAATAAGGTTGGATTGACATCTGCTGTGGTTCAGCTCATCCTTGCAACAGTTAATTATGTTTTTGTTGTTCAACACATAGGCCAGGTCACAATATGTGTGTTCCCTATCGTTTTTGGTCTCGTTGGATCATTTCCCAAAATTTATGATGGTCAACACAAGACAGAGGGGGACGGAAACGTTGATGAGGAAGATGAAGTTGCCCTCATTAATCAAACACAGACAGAAAGTGAAGAAGAGAAAAGTGTCCTCATCAAGAATCAAAGTCACAGAATGAACCAAGAGGAGCACCCAAAGGCAGAAGGAAGTGTTGTTCAATATGATAAAACTACCCACTCTAATCTAAGACAGAGAGCGAGAAAAGCGTCAGTCCCAAAGGAAATAGAAGAGCCATCTTGGGTTAATGGAGCGAAGAGGTGTTCGAATAAACTCGAAGCGGTGAAGAAGTCTTTGAACGAACTCTCTGAAAGGGCGTGTAAACTAATGAATAGGAATGAGAATGTTCTAGTACTCAAGAAATATTCGGCTACAGAAAATATAGAAAGAATCGAACAAGGTCTGACGACTGGGGGTACTGGTGACGATTTAAAACAATTCAAGAGGGTGCAGATTCTTTTGGATAACATCCAGAATGAGATTAAAAGTGAAGAGATGAAATTTTTAGAAATCAAGGAGGAGAATGAGAATATGCTGGAGGTGGAATTGAATAAACTCAAGAGGTTTTCCACAATAGGAGAGTCAGATCGATATTCACTGGCAGAAGAGTCTTTGGATGAACTCAAGAAGAAAAATTGGGCTGCGCTGGCGAAGAAGTCTTTGGATGAAATCAAGAAAGGTGAGCAGTCTCTGGATGAAGTCAAGAAGAAAGTGGTTTCATTCAGCGAAAAGTTTGCATCACTGCAGAAGGCATTGACTACCAGGAATCGCAATTTAGCCGGTGGTCAGAGCTTAGAGCCCTCTTTAAGGGGTTGCTATGTTCCACCGGTCTGGAGATCGAATCTTCAGTTGTTAATAGCTAATTTAAGTTAATTTCCTAACCATTACTCTTATATATATAAAAAAAAAAAGGAATTGCAATTTAGTTGCCTCTGAAATTTTAGCAGCAAAGGCTTAAAGGTCTTACAATATTGCATTGTAATTTTAAAAACTTATTTTTATATCATAAATTAAAAAAAAAATAATTGATACACCCTCCAGTTTAACACATTTAACAACACCTTCCGATTCAATTATCAAAATTTACCTTTGAAAATTTTTCCGTTTTAAATTTAAATTTGAAAATATTAGTTTCTTAGTGAATAAATCGGAGTATGTTGTGTGTATTGAACGGGAGGGTGTACCAATCATTGTCCAAATTAAAATGATATTCGATGAGTTTTCATATAATAAAATTTATTTATAATAGAGTTTACACTAAATGACTGAATGATTTCCTTTTCAATATAAACAATCAAAGAGTTTAAAAAGAATTCATCTTGCATTTTGCTGCGAAATCTCATTTTTATAATTTTTATGATAAAAAATACTCTTTCTGTTGTTGCTGGTAGGGTGAAAGGATCTTCCACCTCCACAGGTGAGGTTGGCAAATATAAAATACGACAACATCTTATCTCTTTACCCTATCACTTTCTACGATCAAACAATTTTTTTTCCTTTTTACAAGCTAATTACACTTTGTACTAGTTTGTCTTCCTTTTATATTAATTTATCTACCTATTGTTTTTCTCTATATGACTATATTCAAGGTTTTCCTTTTTATTGGATTCATATATGTTTCTTTATGGATCTACACTTTCTTTTTCCTTTTTTTTACTCCGATTCAATTATATTCCATATAACTCCAATATAACTTCAATATTATCATAATATTCAATTTTATTTGTAATCTTAACAATTCTAAATCCTAAAAGGAAATTATACAATTTTTTGTGATAATAAAAAATTAATAAATTTTATTACTTAAATATTACTCCCTCCATACTAGAATAATAGATTTTTTGTTTTATCTTCAAATGAAGGACTTGAAAACAATTTCTATCTTTACTTATTTTACATTTAAAAAATAACTAAGAATAAATATCTATTTCAGTTAGAAGATAAATAATTAAAGTTAACAGATAATTATAGGATTAAAATAGAAAAAATTATTTATCTTCCTTAAAATAAAAAAATGACTATTATTCTAAGATAAATTGTAAATAAAAATATTAATTACTTTGAGACAGAGAGAATATACTAATTTTTTTGTTAGAACATATCTATTAACAAGTATAAAACAAAATTTTAAAATAAAATAAAATAAACTTACAAAACTTGAAAGTTGAAACCCAATATAGCAATATATGATTCATATAAAAAATGATAATGTTGTTTTTAATTTTTATAAAAAAGTTAGTAGTCTCTTTGGTGGTCCCCTTGTTTTTAAGTTTTCAAATGACGAGAGCAGTGTTGCAGTTGCTTGCATCAGGCCATTGGCAGAGTCTCTTTTTTCTATTTTTAAAATTATTGGGTTGAGGTTGATTGGTTGAAGAAGATTAACACTTGGACAATGAGATTGGATATTGAAGAAATGGCGTAGAAAACATGAAAATCTATTTTCTTTTTTCTTTTTCTACATAATTTAGTTATGAGCCTTAAGATTAGTGGGTTTTAAATAATAATAAATAATTAAATTGTTAAAATAGATAATAAATTATATGAATTATATTTGGACCCCTAAAACAATCCATTATTATTGGATCTTTTTTAATTTTATGTATTTTAACAATTAAAAATATAATATTTAAAATTTTAATAATAATAAGTAATAAATTAATTATATATTTTTTTCAAATCCGAGGGGGGCCACCGCCCCCTGATCTAAATATGGCTCCTCCCTTGCACGAAGTGCCGTGGGAATCTCCCCACGGAGTGTCATGGTGATCTCCCCACGAATGGAGGTAAGAGGATAGTCTCCTACGTTTGAGAAAGTCTGCTGTATCCCCGGGATACAGCAGACGTGGTATCCCAACCCAATGGGAAAACACCACATCAGTTGTTTTTTGGGTTTGGGATTGATGAAGTCTGAAAAAATTGTTGATGTGGTGTTTTT